TACATTGATTCTAGAGTTTAATCGCGAATTGAACGGAAATCTACACTATGGCAGAATATTTAGTAATTTAATTGAATTGTTGGGAAAATTTTTGATACATTGATTCTAGAGTTTAATCACGAATTGAAAGGAAATCTACACTATGGCAAAATATTTAGTAATTTAATTGAATTGTTGGGAAAATTTTTGATACATTGATTCTAGAGTTTAATCACGAATTGAAAGGAAATCTACACTATGGCAGAATATTTAGTAATTTAACTGAATTGTTGGGAAAATTTTTAATACATTGATTCTAGAATTTAATCGTGAATTGAACGTTTAGTGGTTTAATTGAATTATGAGAAAGATTTTTAATATTTTTCATTGGATTCAACTCTCTTATAACGTGGCATTCTAAAAATATGGTGCAAAAATTACTCTATATAGCGCGATTTTCATATAACACGACTTAATAAACTTGGATAATCTTATATTTTTTTTTAATTTCCCTTTATTATTTGTACCTATTTACAAAATAATTACAATGTTTAATAACATTTGACTTCCGTTTCTTTAAACGGCAAATACTACAGAAACGTATATAGTATGAATTTCCTCATCGCACTGTTTCTGTATTTTAAGTTTTTTTAAACTTAGCACGGTTTCGAACCGTATAAAATTACTATATTTGAGCGATATATTCATCGAAAGTGGAAAATTAAAAGCCAAAAACGTTTAATCGAAACGAGTAATGATTCGTGGGTAAATTGGAGATTATGAAGGTTTGATAGTGAGAGAAATTTTAGTAGCATGAATAAACTATTGGAAGAATGAATTAGTTTGCTGATTGGATTGGTCGGAAATGAAATTTGTTTTGATAGAAAGGGTTGAAAACTAATTGAGAATTTAATGGAAAAATTAGCAACATTTGAAGATTAAATGAGTTTGACAGTAAAAAGAAATTTTAATAAATTGAACGCACTGTTGAAAATCCTAAGGATAGAAATATTTTTGATAGGAAACAGGGATACATAATTTACGCGTAATTCAAGAATAGAATAGAATTTACCTAATTTGAGATTGATTCAATTTGTTTGCATTGAATTTCCTACTGTCTGGTAATTTCCTACTTTCAACATGTAGATCTTTTTAACAAAAAAGAATTAATCATTCAATTTTTTTTTCACAATTTTTATAGATTGATAGACAGATTGGATCTTATAGATAAATTTTTATCTATTAATCCGCTAGAATACATAGATCCTTTTAACCAAAAAAAGAAAAAAAAAAGAAATTAATCATTCAATTAATCTTCGTTTTTACAGTCCTATAGAGTGGAAGAACATGAGAAGATCGTTCAAGACCAACCAGGCGAGATTCGTCAAGAAAAGACGGTAGTAGTGTCCCAAGATGAGGAAGGAATCAAACGTGACATGAAGTCGGCACAAATTTCGAGACCAACTAGAAAATCCACGGCACCGAGATTCGTTTCACCCATCACAGGGATGATCGTAGATCAGGGTACAGATATCATCCTCGAGGGGATCATTGATGGTAAGATAATTGGAAATACGTTTGAAGTATATGCAACGGAATGAGTTGATTCTGGCAAGCAGTATATATTTTCCTTTCTCGTTCGAGCGTGAAATTATTAGTAACTTTGGAGGAATGGGGGTGATAAAAGACGAAGTCTGTCTTTGTAAATCTGAATATGTAAAATGGTACACTTCGTGTACCTTACGAAGTGGAACAAAATGTTTGACAGTTGATTTTGGCAGGCAGAATATTCTGCTTCTTGAAAATTGTGATTGTTACTTCTGATGATATTCGATATTATATAATATCACGCCAACATTGCGATAATTCAACGTTTACTTTTTTTTACTTCAGTCGATCTCGCAATTTTATACTAGAAAATGAATTATATTTAATATATATTTATTATGTTATTATTTATATTATTTTATTATTATATTAAATGAAAATTTTATATTACACGGAGAAAAGTATTTTTAATATTGCAAAGTTATGAAAGTGAATTAAAAAGAAATTAATTTTAATTGTGATTAAATTTGAAAATTCAATTCATTAGAATTCAATCTCACTTTCTAAATCTTATACAGGATTCCCTCAGCCTTCTATCATCTGGTCGAAGAACGGGCAAGAATTAAAGACGAAGGACGGGATGACGATCACGTACGCGCACAATCACGTTCGTTTGGAACTGAAGAACGTAAATGTCAAAGACGCCGGACGGTATACTTGCACGGCCAGTAACGAAGTCGGTACTGCTAGTAGCACTGCTGATCTTGTTGTGAAAAGTAAGTAACAATAGAAAGAAATCTTGTTAAAAAAATTCTACGTATTACTTTCTTCCATTTTTTTTTTTTTTTTTTGTTAGTTTATAAAATTAGAACAACAAATTGAGCACAATATCAACTTTCCTACGTTTGAACGATCAAATAGAAATTTTAGAATTGACATTTAATTCCCAACTCAGCTTCTTTTAGTAATTTCATTTCATCTGCAATTCCTTTAGTACAATTCTCAAATATTCTCAATGATGTAATATTTCATACGTTTTTAAATATATCTAATGAAAATTCACGGATGATCAATCTCAGAAACGATATTCCCGCCGGTGTTTGGAAGGAGACTGCAAGCTCAAGTGGTGAAACGCGGAGATCGTGTTAATATGGAGGTAGAAATCACAGGTACGCCAGAGCCTACGGTTACGTGGTTCAAGGACGATGTTCCAATCAAGGAACGTCCACCAGAGCTGAGGATCAAGCAGCAGGGAAACTGTTACATGCTACTCATCGACAAAGGTAAACGATAAATCAATGATAATTTATCAGAAAAAAAAAGAAAATTATTTTCCAGTGGATTTCAGAAACATAATGTGATACTATTTTAGCTGAGAAAGAGCACGCTGGAAAGTACATGGTTCGGGCAACAAATGCCGGTGGCGAAGCTCAAAGTATAGCCGATTTTGCTGTGTTCGAGCCAACGCCAGACACCATGGTCGAGGTCCATAAAACTGTCATCTACGAGAACGTGCAAGACAAGAAAGTTGTTCAGGTAATCGTTTCTTTCTACTATTATTAACAATCGTTAACATCGATCAAATTTCCAGCAATAACAAAATCTATATACATACATATATATATGTATAAATAATTTCAATCTCCTAGTTTAATACAACTTTCAAATTGAACTTTTTAATAGAAGATCCAACTTAAAATAGTTGTTCAATTTTCTGATGAAAATTTTCCAAATTAACTTTATTAATAGACCACAGTTATGTTCGATACGATTTTATATCAACATAAATTGTACATTTATATTATTTTATATACTTTATAATTGAATAATTATTAATTTCAATTTTTTGATGAGAACTTTCTGAATTAATTTTATTATTAAATTATGGATAGGATCATACGATTCTACATTTTGAATATTTCACAATTCTCCACGACTGTATAAAATGCATCTGCAATATACCCATTGATACAAAATTTATATACGTCGGCAATAAAATTGAATTGAAACTCCAGATTTAACAATTCCTTTTACAAGATTTTTTAATGCAAAATCGACAATCCTCAATTTAAAATGACTAATTGAATTAATTGAATCTGACGTCTCTATCTTTTATCCTCATTGTTCCATATTAATTCTCTGCGTTATCTAACACAGGACCGACTTCCATTTACTAAGAAACGCGAACTAACAAAAACCGTCAGTAACGAGTTTGCGAATTCTTCGCAAGCGAAACAAAGCGTAAAGTCCGATATTCGTATTTAGTCCGACGAGAAGAAGAGCGAGCTTCCCTCGGTTAAGCAATCGACAACCGAACGCGTGACAACGACGAAAATTCAACCGGCCCCGCCGTTGAAAACAACCCCGATAGTATCGTCCACCACCATGGCTGAGACAACCAGAACGGTAGAGAAGATCGAGGAACCAGGAACCAAGATGAGTCGCTCGGAAACGATCTCGTCCACCGTCGAATCTCACCAAAGTCAGTCCAAGTCCGAGCAGAAGTTCCACATGAAGCTGGAGCACAAAACGCCTAGCGTCACGTTAGAGCCGAAGACAGGCGAGAAAACTCTGTTGAGGGAAACAGCGGGAGTAGAAAAAATCAGCGAGCCGAAGGTAGTCGAGGAGAAAATCGAGAACGAGAACGTCGAGACGTCGACGATAGCGAAGAAAGACGCGTTGAGTTTCTTCGAGTCGATGACGAGGGAAACGGAGGCGACGCCGAGAGGTCCGAAGGAGATGATCAAATTGGTGGACGACGCGGACGGCCACGAGGTGAAGGTTGGAAAATTAACGAAGAACTACGAAAGATCGACCACGTTCCAAGAAGTGAAGAGACCGGAACAGAAGCCTCCCGAGCTGCAAGCAACGAAGAAGGCGGTTCACGAGATATTCACGAAGCTGGAACAAGGAAGCGCGGCCGGCCGCGGTGTGGACAACAAGCTGTTCGACTTCCCGTACGAGCCGTACAAACCACCGACAGAAACGAAGAAACCAGCAACGGAGGAGGCAATCTCTTCGTCTCTTCACGTGTCGAAGATTGAGAGCAAGATGGAGAGTAAAACGGAGAGCAAGTCGGAAATACTGATGGAGGGTTTCAAATTGGTGCCGGAGCCTCCGCCGGAGATCGGCTACATGCCGAAGCCCGACGAGTTAAAAAAAAAACGCCCCGACGTGTCGATCAAGGCTAAGCAGCTGCAGGAGTCCTTCGACAAGACCCTCTCCCCCATAGAAGCGCCCGTTGGCGGTGTGAAGATTTTCCCCACGCCCTCACCGAAAGTTAGCGAACCTCCTCCAAGAGTTGCGCCGACCTTCTCCATGCCACCCCCGCCCTTCGACCTCGAGAAGAAAGAGACGATCGAGGAGCCGTGTGTCAAGAAGGACGTCCACGAGAGGAAGGACTACTCGTTCTCGTTCAGAGCTGCCTCGCCGACCAGGCCGCTGTCGTCCTCGTCCGAGTTTGAAACCAGGTCGCACGTGTCCACCGATCTCTCGGAGTACAGGTGTCAGTCGGCCGCGTCGAGTCACCAGGAGATCCTCAGATCAGCCTCGCCCAGGCCTTCGGCAGACGCGCTGGCCATGGAGAAGTCTTGGGCGAAGAAGTGTGCCGATTCCACGAGAAAGTCCTGGCCTCCGCAGGAATGGCAGACACCGGGGGAAGACTTCAGGAGCACGCAGAAGGAAATTAGAAGGGAAGTGGAGGAGACCGAAGGTGGTGTTAAGAAGACTAGCGTTGAGTCTTCGAGCACCACCGAGAGACGTTCGTGGAGCTCGAAGCAGGAGTCGATGGAAAAGGTGTCGAAGAGAGCACCGTCTCCGCCCAAGGCGCCGCCGATTATTTACAACGCCGAGACCATCAAAGTGGACCACGTGGTGAACAAAATTGAGGAGAAGTCTCTGTACGAGAAGTACACCAGCGAGCTCGACACGAAGAAGTCCGAGACGTCGGAGAGGATCGAGGAGAAATATTCGAAGAAATGGGCGGGATCCGACGACCTGAAGGCCCCCAGTCTCGTGAGAAGCGTCGAGCCACCGAAGAGACCGGTCGTTCAATTGTATCACCTGACCCCAACCACGCCGACTGATCAGATTATTCTGGAACCAGGACCTCCTCCGGAAATTGGATATATTCCAGCGCCAGTGATGAAGGAGAAGAAACTCGAGAAGATAGAGAAGACGTTCGAGGTATCTTTGGATCATCAGCCAGCCAAGATCCCCCCTGGAGGTATCAGAACTATCCCAACTGCAAAGAGGGAAGAACCTCCCGCGTTACCCCCCAAAGACGTCCGAGTCACTCCTCCGCCGATTCCAGCCAAAACACAGACACCTGTAGAGCCACTCGAACCGTTCCCGTTCAAACCTTCTCCCCCAACGACGACAAAGACACCGCCGAAAGCACCACCTCCTCCGATTCCGACGAAATTCGTGAAAGTTGGCGCGAGTTTCACGCAGGAGAGCGATTACGAGTCGGACGTGGACGGTTTAATGAAGGCGAAGTGGAGGCCGTACGAGAGCGACACCGAGGAGCCACGTTATCGAAGGGTTCAGCCACCGGTGCCTAAGCAGCCTGTTCGACCGAGATCCACGGAGCCTGAACCGCTGCCCCCTTCAAAGTTCGAGGTCCCTCCGGCGACTGTCGGTCCGCCCAGGCCGACGATCGCGAAGGAAGAACAGGAGAAAATTTGCAAGAAAACGACGACGTTCAAGAGGCACGAGAAGGAGATAAAGGAACAGCAGAAGCATCAAACGGTTCAGCCTCCACCGCAGATCGAGCTGAAGCCTGGCTCTCCTCCAATCTACGTTCAACCAGCCGCGAAGAGTCCAACGCCGAGAAGTCCACCAGCCAGGAAGCCAGAGTCTCCTAAATTCAAGGTGAAGACGTTCCAGCAGGAGAGCGGATACATGGCGGACACCGACGAGCCGTTCCAGCAGAGAAGTTCGGCTCAGTCGATGCAGAAAAGCTTCGGAAAGCACGAGTCCTCGTCGTCGGTGACCTCTCACGCGGAGTCGCGCACCTCGTATCAGGAGAGCCGATCGGAATACTTCGAGAGCAAGTGTTACGACAGTCGGCAGCAGCAACTGAAGAAAGAATCGTTCGTCGCGTCGCCTGCTCCATCGAAGCAGCCGGTTCAGCCAGCCAGCGTTCAGCAACGTAGCTCGTTCGTTGAAAAGAGCTACGCGTCTTCCGCGTCTTCCCCGTCGAGATTCAGTTCCACGAAGGTTCGAGATGTGTGCTTTCAGTTGCTTGATTTGTATAGAGATGTACAGAGAGCAGGATGATGAACGAAAATATCCTTCTTTGTTTCATCGAGCGAGGAGATGATGCTTCTAACAAACGTCTTCTTGCAGCGTTTGCGTTGAGATAACACTTGTGCCGATTGTGACGATTTTTTAACAATGTTGTTGCAGATTTTGTGTTTTGAGAGAACTGAGTGTAATATAGATTGTTGCTTTTCAGTAGCGAATTGATAGATGTTTCGAAAGATTGTTGTTAGAAAAAAAAAATAATGTACGAAAATTAAATGTGCAAGTTGAAGATTTACTACGTCAGAGCGCAGAGTTCGATGAAATATTAAAAATAGAGAATATAGCAGAATAGAGAATATAGCAGATATTATATAATATAATTTATATAGCAGATATTATATAATATTATATAATATTATAATATTAAAAATAGAGACTATAGCAGAATAGAGAATAGAGAATAGAGTTCAAATATACAACTCTGAGTCTCAAAGCTGAACGTTCTGTGTATTTAACTTGAAATTCTCTGAGTCTTGAACGTTCATTTAATTCAGACACAGATTTGATCGATTTCATGTATCAAACGTTCATATTACTCGACGTGAACACACAAAACAGAAAATAGAAAATTATCATCAAACTTGTACATGTTTTGCGTTTGATTTTGAAAACTAACCGTGTGTTTTTGTGTTTTTTGTTAGCATTGGTTGTTAGAAGTGTTGTGTATATATACTCCGTCACACGATTGATATAATGATTTTTAAAGTGGCTTCAATTTCTTTCCCAGGAAACAATTTATACCACAGATCAGTCGCAGAAGAAGTTGGAGACAACGAAGAAGATCCTGCCACCCTCTCCGAGTCCTTCTAAATTCGTGAAGGGCGAATTTCGTGAAAGCGACTACGAGAGCGACTACGACGGCAGAATACCACCCCTTTGGAAACCGCGGGGCTACGAAAGCGACGACCAGACTTTCAGATCCGTGAAGCTCGCTGGTCCAGGTATTTATAAATCCTAATGTAGACAACTTGATCGATACATTCACTGTACAAGTATATGATTAGAAATTGTACATTATGTTTTCTTTTTTTTTCTCCTGAAAAACGCGAGATAAAGCTGCGTCTACGTAGCACAGGCTAGTTTCTTCACACAATTTGATTACATTTACAGCAAAATTAGCACAATGTATTTATTATCCTTAGATAAAATTATGACTCTTGTGACATTTTTCGTTAATCTTTCTTTTTTTTTGAATTTTTTGCTAAATTAATCTTCCACTGCCGTAGATCTAGAATGTTTCTCTTCAATTATTCTCGATGTTCGCTAAATATACTACATGCAAAAATTATGAGTTTATTTGTAAAGGAAAATGAAGGACTATCTTGATTTCTGGAAATTTCGAATAAAAGGAATAATCGTAGTTTCATAATAACAAGTTCTAAAATAAGTTCTTGAATTTATTTCATTCTGTTATATTTTATTAGAATATTATTATTATATAGAATATTATATTATAGAACATTATAATTTATTCTTTTCTTTCGTTAGACTTTATTCTATGTTTATTAACGAAAGATGTGCAATTATAAATAAAGCTGTGACAATTATAATTTCATAAACAAGGTACCAGCAACAAGTGCCAAAATTTATTTTATCGTATCAGGTAGATGCAGCTTAATTGCGTTATTATTATACATACATACATTTTATTCTACGTTGGATTGTCATACTGTGCAAACGTTGGTTACGGGAAATGTCATTGTGAAAATATGAATTGCTTTCCAACAGCGCCAGTAGAACAAAGAAAATAAAAGAAAAAGAAAAAAGAAACTCAAACTGGCCAGGTGTCGATGGATCTCTCACTCTTTTACGACTTTTTTCCAGCTTACAACAAGTAGTCCTCCTGGCAAGCTTTCTTCCCTTCTCGTTGTTTACCTCGCAAGACAAGTTCTCCTCTCTTCCTGCTTCGCTTGCTTCTCTCTTTTCTTCTCGGCCACTCGAAGTACGTACTTGTGTTGCCCCCGCTTTTTCACCGAATCTTTCTCCATCCATCTTCGTGGCTAACCATCTTCACCTACTTCTTCTTCTTCTTCTTCTTCTTCTTCTTGTATTTCTTTTTCTTCTACTACTACTACTACTACAACTACTTCTTCTCCGTCTGTTCTCTTCTTCACTGTCTCTCTTCACGCTGGTTTCACCCTCGTTTCACTACTGATACTCGTCGCGATACATTACGCAATCACGGTTCACTCAAAGAAAACGAAAATGAAACGAGTCCACAACGAGTGGGACGAGGCCACGGGGAATAAAGGAAGCTCGTTCGAAAAATGACTCAACGACGCGTGAAACCGACGTCGCCGATGGCGCGCGACACCCCTCTCTCCGCTTTTCGTCACGACGTCTCACGATCGAGGTCACCCGGGAAACTGTTTTCTACCGATAGGCAAACCGAAGGAGCCTCGGGCGCCGCTGGCCGAGGAGATCTCGCCGAAGCAGCAGAGAATCTCGGCGGCCACGCCGACCAAACAGAAGACCGTTCTCCTACCCGGCACTCCGCCAGAGATCGCCTATGCACCTCCTCAGCCGACCTACTACGAGGCTCGATCCGGCGTTCCCTTCCACAACGCGATCGGCACAGAAACGAAGAAAACAGTGAGGATGGACGAGTCGACGGAGAACAGCAGAAGAATCGTCACGGTGGAACAGACCAGCCGCGTGATCAAATTCGGCGATCAGAAACCATCCGCCGATTTCAAGAGCTTCGAAACGTCGGCGACTGGAGCCCAACGACACAAGTCCACGTTCAAAGTGCCAACGCCTACAAAGTTCGTTCAGGGTTCATTTCGTGAGTCGGATTACGAGAGCGACATCGACACGAGGATCAAGCCGAAATGGGCGCCGGCGGACAGTGACACGGAGGAGCCGAGGTACAGGAAGGTTCAACCACCTTCGGCCAAAGGACCGAGGTCGTCCAGCGCTCCGGTTAGACAGGAGCACGTGGTCTCGCCGCTGGAGTTCGACACTGGGCCACCTGTCGTCAAGAGGCAAACGTCGATGACGCAGCTAAGGGATGACAGTCGAACGAGGAAGATCGACTCGCTGAGTGTTAAAGCGCAGAGGGAAGCTGGCTCGAGGACGCAAGAGGACGCGTTGAAGCCTGGATCGCCACCGGAGTTCGGTTATATCTCGAGGAGCGACGTGAAGAAGGCAGCCAATCGTAAGAATCACGTTGATGTCTCTGTTCTTGCGTTCGCTGGGGGTTGCTTTGGGTACTTGATTCTTGCGTTTGCAACTATTCGAGAGTAGGTGGATATTCACGGGGTTATTATTGTTGGGAGGACTGGGGGAGTAGACGTAGAATTTTTTATAGAATATTTTTAGAGATTGACATTGTTGATTCTTAGAAGTTGTCGCGATTTAGAATATTGCAACATCTGTGAATTTTCGGGACTCTTGTCGCTAATAACTTTGAATATTCACGGGGTGATTATTGTTAAGGGAATAGATGTAGAATTTTTTATAGAATATTTTTAGAGATTGACATTGTTGATTCTTAGAAGTTGTCGCGATTTAGAATATTGCAAC